AAGAGAGAGAGAGAGAGCGAAAGAACAAGAAAGAATGAGTGAGAATATGTGAGAGAGAAAAAGATAAAAAGGTCTGTAAATCGAGCGAGCGCTTTTGTATGTATATACATATATATATATTGTATATTGTATACGCACATTGTACCGTAATCCGAGCGACATTATTATCTGTAGTCAGCGGAAACATTAGAGCTAGAAAACTTTTTTCTTGTATAATGAACGAATAAATGCAACGTATCGTTCGGTATACACGTCGTGTGCCAATGTCCTCTTTATTTTTCGATTTTTATCTCGTCTCGTAATGGTTCTCCCTCTTCTACGCGCATTCTTTGGTTTTTTTCGATATAAAAAAATGTATTTAAAAATATTAAAAGTATTTCGCTTTCTGAAAATATTCAATTCATAAAGAATATACATATACATATTTTAATGCAAAAGGAAAATGTTAAATATGATTATTTGAAATTGAAATATACAGAATGATTCAATTTTCATTTTCGATATTATCATTCTGAATTCATAAATACAAAAAAAAAAATCAAAAACTTATACTTAATTGAATATTAAGAATTGAACCATCCTGTACATTTTGTTAAAAACTTATAGGAGCGAATAATTATTAATTTTATCATATTATATTATAATTTGATACTTGCTATAACTCGTTAGATTCTCAATGAGAACGAACGAGATCACTTGTAACGATGTTATTTCGAACGGAGCTTGAGGCTGTTACTTTCTTGGATTCCGATATCGTTGAAATAAAATGCAATTCTCTTCAAATATTTTTTATTTTAGTTTTAATTTAATTATTCGATATCCTTTCGTGTTATAAAGGTATTGTAAAATGTTTAGTTTCCATCAGAAAACGAATTCTTCATGATTATGCGTATTATAGAATTATTTTTCTTTGCATTAGACTTTTTAGATATAAAAAGAATTTAAATTATTTTAAAAATGTGACGTCTGTTTCTACATTAATACAGACAAATTACGTTTTTCTATCATTTTTATTTACCGGACCGTTAAAAGAGAAACAAAGTCCAGCAGAATTACATAGGAAATTCAACTACACTGCATCTTGGTTCACCTTACATACACTGTAAATAAATATATCTTACAAGTATAAATATATCTATACTTTGTTCAGTCATTTGTTTGACAATTATTGGAACGTTCGATGGCTTCTAGTCTCTATACCTTTATCTTTAATTTGATATAGCTTGTTTGCGTTGTGCAATGCGTGCTTCTATTTCCGGTCTAAAATGCCTGATCAATCCTTGAACTGGCCACGCTGCACCATCCGCCAAAGCACAGATAGTGTGCATTTCAATCTGTTTGGTCAACTCCCAAAGCATATCTATTTCATGTACTTCTGCTTGTCCCTGAACAAACCTAAACACATATTTGTTCCACGATTTTCAAATCTATATAGTTTAATTATCTTAATATAAAATAAAAATAAATAAAAGTTGTATACCTTCTCATTATTTTATACATCCAACTTATTCCTTCGCGACACGGAGTACATTGACCACACGATTCGTGCTTATAAAAGCTGATCAAACGTGCAATAGCTTTAATAATATCGGTCTGTTTGTTCATTACAATTACAGCTGCGGTACCAAAAGAAGTCTGTACTCTGACGAGATCGTCGAAATCCAACAATACTGTATCGCATACACTATAAAATCATTAATGATGAATGAATGATTAAAAATTGTTAAACTTCGTAATTAATTAATAAATATAATTAAATACCTTTTCGGAATAACGGGAGTGGAAGATCCACCGGGAATTACACCCAATAAATTATCCCATCCACCAATTACTCCACCAGCATGTCTTTCAATGAGTTCTTTCAAAGGAATGGACATTTCTTCTTCCACGGTGCAGGGATTGTTCACGTGTCCCGAGATATTAAATAATTTTGTACCATGATTACGTGGACGACCAAATGACGCAAACCACGCTCCGCCTCGTCTGCAAATAGTCTATATGTCGAAATTTTAATTTTAGAATTAAAATTTTATATGTATATATATTTTTATAATAATGCTAAGAATATATCAAATACGTACGGGGGCTACTGCAACGGTTTCAACATTGGTAACAGTGGTGGGACATCCAAATAATCCAACATCAGCTGGAAAAGGTGGTTTTAACCTAGGTTTTCCTTGTTTTCCTTCAATAGATTCAATCAGAGCAGTTTCTTCTCCACAAATGTATGCACCTGCTCCTCTTTGTACAAATATATCAAAATCATAACCAGAACCACAAGCATTTTTTCCAATCAAACCAGCTTGATAAGCTTCTGCAATGGCAACTTGCATATTTGATGCTTCATTATAGAATTCACCACGAATATAGATATATGCAGCACATGCTCCCATTGCACGACCAGCAATTAAGCAACCTTCCACAAGTTTATGTGGATCATGACGAAGGATTTCACGATCTTTGCAAGTGCCAGGTTCACCCTCATCGCCATTAACTACCAGATATTTTGGTCTTCCATCAGAGGGTTTGTTCATAAATGACCATTTCATGCCAGATGGAAATCCTGCACCTCCACGTCCTCTCAAACCAGATACTTTGATTTCATTGATAATCCAGTCTGCCCCCTTTTCTACGATTTCCTTAGTCTTATACCAATCTCCTCTTTTCAGAGCAC